TTTCTGGACTAACAAAACAAAGCCACAAATACCCTATCAAAATACCCCTCCGATTAGAAACCTATTTTAACAACAATGCCCAGGATTTTTGAGAATAAACGTTAATGGAAGTGCAGTTTATTGCTTCAGCTACTAGATTTCAGCTTATCACAGTAGCGTTTATACACCGTAAGTATCCACTTTGACCATTTCACTACAAATCTCAGAATTTATTAAAATCTAAATAATTCTGCTGAAGAAGTTAAAGCTTACACAGAGAAACATTCGGCCACAGTGTTAACTCTGCTTACAGCCTTGAAAATCCTACGTGACATAATAAAGGTCCTTCTCATCAGTTCAGTGATTCATAAGGAAGAAAGAATCTAATACAGGATCCAAGTTAGATCACGAACTGACTTCATTTGGTGAACCACTAAGAACCAGACAGTTTTGGGCATCTAACTGTTTCGTCTTTGTTTGGAACTCTTCGTCAGTATGCGCTAACAACTCAACCAGAGGTCGAACAGTCATCAAATTTGAAATCACCTGAGTGCCTGCCAAGCAACACCCGCAAATTAATACAGATTTATAAATTTCCAGATGAGACAAGAGGTTAAGTTGTGCCACAGTCAAAGGTTTTATAGTTAATGGAACGCAAGGAGTTGAGTAATGTTGTTTTAGAAAAAATAATCCCAGAAGGACAGAGTAAGCATTATCCTAAGCGTTTCAGATACACTGAGTTCTCAAGTGGCGAGAGAAACTGGACAAAGATCACAAGAATTTGAATGACTGCTTATAAGCCTAAGGGTCCCATTGGCTTAATGGTTTGCGAGCTAGCTCGCCTTATAACCAGAAGGTCATAGGTTCGAATGGCGGTGGGTGCATACTGCTGAAGTCGGTAGAATGCTCGCCAGCTATGCAAGAGGTTCGGGGTTCGATCCTCGGCCGACGCACTTCCTCACCTTGCTAAGCCAGTGAAGAGAAAGGGTTGGGCATGAGGCTAGCAACCCCATTCCGTAAAAACAAACACCACTGCTACTGAAAATTAAAGCTTCTAGCTTGAAGCCCTATGTTCCACTGAGAGTGTAAAGAAATAAAATAATAAGTCTAAGGTGTTAAATAGATCGACAAAATAGTAAACTAAAAGTATATTACTAAGTGAAATGATATTTTAGATTAGCGATACAATAATAATATACAGTAAGCCAAGTAACTTACATCATTCCCCGTAGCTGCCAGATTTAACCATCCTGTCAGGCTTTTCAATCTGTCTAATAGATACGTCAGTTTTTCATCTTGAGCGTATTCAAATGAAAAATGATTATCATGGTACACATGATATACAAGCCTGCATGACGATTCAAAAATACTTTGTAGAATAGCAAGAGACCTTTTTAAGTCCTGTAGATGTCAAAATTAAATAAAACAAATGAATGAATAGGTTTAAATACTGTAAACACATGAAATAAATCATAATCAGAGAGGTGGATAATATGTGTAAGGAAACAACTAACACATGAATAGACAGTTAATACGTTTGAAGGCTGTTTTCATCTGTATATGTGCCGCTTCCCATAAATGGTGGAAGATATACGCCCCCCCCCGCAATATTAAATCTCATAAGCAAAGATGAAGAGCACATGTATTAAATCACTTGACCCCCCCTTTCTAGTGCATCATGAAAGCTTCATCAGTGTAGGGAATCAACTGACATATCGATAAGGAGCCCAGCAACCAGTTCCAATAGTGTTAGGATTTGTGGACTACCAGTTGGAAATAAATAAATAAATGAGGTCGTAATCCTGTTTATTTGTTCGCCTACATATCCTCGCTCTCTAGAACTGCACAGACTCTAATCCTCAGATACTGGATTTATGAGAGATTGATTAAAGTAACTCTAGATTCTATGACATATCCAAATCAGCCTAGAACTTTGGAAAACTAGAAAGCACTTCGCCGTCATTTCATCCTACTTAAGAACTCTTTATCAGTGTTCATTCTCTACAGCAAGTTGGAATCCAATACCCAGTGGTTAACTACTTCTCTTGGTTCGTGATACAGAACGCCTAATATCTTTCTCGAACATCGAGTAACCTTCCCACCCACCCCCTCCTTAAACTTGACAAACTTAAAAACTGCTGCTTAATAGACCGGTAGTAATTACCAGAAAACCTTATAATATTTGGTAGCATCACTCAGGAGACCAGTATGCAAGAATACTGGAACTCCTTGAAAGCGGTATTGGAGGAAACCTGTGCAGCTGTCTTAGTAAGGAAGAAGAGGAAAGACAAGGAAAGGCTCTAAATGGACACTTGGAAGCTAATAGAAGATGGAGGATGGTGGGACAGATGAACCAATGCAAAGAAGGACAATAGAAGAAGAAGCTCAGTTCAACGTACATCTCACTGAATAAAGAGTGTTAGAAAAATAAAAGACAATTAACTCAGCAAGACACTGGCAACTGGAGCGGAACAGGCTACAGGTAAGAGGGACTTCACATCACTATATCAGATAAACAGGTAGTTATCGGGGAAGAAATCAGCACACTGAAAGCAATGAAGGTTATTGAAGGGAACCAAACAACCAAAGAAGAGGAGCAAAGAAAAAGTAAGGAGGACTACTTCAAACGACTCTCGAACAGATGGCCACCTACAACTCTCCCAGAAGTGCCACCAACAGCCAAAAAACAGTCTGTGAACAATAACCTTCCGTAAAAAGTAGAAGTCTTGTATACCATGAAGTTACCAGAAACCGGGAGGATGGTAAGTTCAGACAGAATTCCCACGAGAGCACTAAAAAGGGGTCCAGAGATCCCCAGTGGATGCCCTGATACCACCGATTCAGAAAGTTTGCAAGGAAGGAAAGGTACCTACTAACTGCAAGGAAGGCTACCACGTCAAACTTCTAAAGAAGGGAGACTTGAGTCTTTGCGGGAACTAGCACTAAATTTCAGTCCTATCCACACCAAGCAAAATATTAGGTCGTGTCATTCTTGATGAGATACAGAGGTGCTTTGAATGCGAAACTCACCCTCTACCAGAACAATTTGAATTGAGGAAAAAAATCATGTTGCAATCAAATTGGAACTCTACGCATCATCATCGAACGGAGTATAGAATGGTAAGCAAATCTCTACCTCAACTTCATCGATTTTGAAAAATCCTTCGACGGCGTTTACACTAGGTAATTTGGAAACTACTTTAACACCATGGAGTGTAGTGCCACAAATTTTTATCAACCCTGTTCAAAAGCTATATGGTGATGTCACTGATTCACAGCAGAAAACTAAGAGAAGCATTTTGAGCGAAGACTGAAGTAAGAAAAGACTGCCTATTATCACTGGTGATGTTCCTGATTGTGGTGAACTTGATCATGCAACAGACTGTGGGCGGCCAGAAGATGGGAATACATTAGACCGATAAGAAGAGTTCTGGACTTCAAGGATGATATACGTCTAATGTCACACAAACTCAAAGATCTGGAGGCGAAAACCGGCAGATTTTCAGGAGATACAGTCAGCGGAGACAGGAATTCAAGTAAATAAAGAGAAGGCCGGGATGATGAAGACACCTGGTCAGCAACAGCAACAACAACAACAAGTACCACCCACCATCAACGGAAAAATTAGAAGGAAGTGACTCAACTACAGGTAACAGCCCGAATGAAGATTCCAAAGCAACTACTCTAAAACCAATTTAGAAATTTGCTGCACTCAGCATTAAGAGCAAGATTCAGATTTTCAACATCAGTGTCAAGTCAATACTTTTATGTGGTCCAGAGAATAGACGTCCAACAGCCTGACGCAAACTTTTATCGACAGCTGCCTTCCCTTTATACTTAAATTCAGGTGTCTGGTAAGGATCAGCAACAGCGAACTCTAGGAACGAACCAACCAAGTACATATTGGTCAATAAATATGTCGAAGGGAATGGAGATGCGTCAGACACATACTAAGGAAACCAGTGAGTGACATCTTGAGCCAGGCCATTGCTCAGGTGGAACTTGGATTGAGTGTAAAATGTTAATAACGTACAAAATAGTAAAAACTGGGATACTCTTACTTCAAATTTATAGATAAAATCATTTATTTCTTCAATCCATAAACCAATTTTCGTATTACATGAACATTTGTGCACATTTCTGACCACCAAGAAGTTTATTGTTCTCAATTCGAATTCTTTTAATACTGACTGGTATTCATGTTGGAATGAATTAACCTGAAACAATAGAGTACATTCATAATGAAAATACAAAATTCCTACAGAGTAAAAATACACAGGGACTCTAACAATAACTTCCTCGATTAAATAAACGTTTTACCAGCCAAAATAAGTATATATATATGCAAAAGTACGATTGAAATGAGAAGTGCGTCACTTGTATGTACGGCTTTACTCTAGTATTCAGTAAGTGTAGAAGCTTAATTAGGCTGGGTTAAGTAAATAAACATAACTAGGCCTTGTATCTGCGCCTAAGATCTAAGGAAGACTCATTGCATTTAGACGCAGCCTGCTTTGAGTAATGTTTATTGGGGACATTAATTATACCACTTCGCTGCAAAAGCCTCCGTAAGAGTTGTGGAGAGTTCCAGTGGCCGAAAATAAAGAGTTCAAATCTGTAAGCCACAAGTACACCTCAAGAATGTAAGAAACATCTACATTCTTTGTATTCTCAATTAACTCGAGTAGCTAGCCAAAATTAGGATCGTTTGGTGTGATTCAGCTCTCTGAATGAATGAACTGGACCAAAGTGAGCGAAACCAACACCCTGTGTTGAGATCAATTCGATGTAGGCAGAAAGCATCGTTTTCTGAAGCAATCGCCCTTTAACTACTCATATGACATTATCAGTAGTATTTCGGATCAAAACTTTTTGTCCTACACACTAATCCTAATAGACTCCTAATATATCTTCGCTCAGTCAGAATTATACTCGGCCATATCTTCACTTCATGTCATGCAAAATCATGTCAAAAACAAAGACAAAGTGAATACTCATCACATAGTCATTTTTTTCCTTTTGAGCTGTAATCAGGGGTGAGTCAGTCAGTCAGTCAATATTACCATTACTTCTAAAATAAATGTATGCATTATAGGACAAAGGTCAAGTCACGAATAAAACCACCGATGCCTAACATTTCGCTACACACTACAAAAAAATGCATGAATTTACGATAAGCTACCAGTTCAATAAATTCAGGTTACTTAGTCATTACGTAATCATCCATGTCAATCAGACAGACTGATCCTATTTTCAGGTCAGCCCAATATATTACGTAATACGGAACTGTTTAACTCTTCATACTCTACCGACTGAAAATAATAAACTACCAACAGGTCATCACCAAACAAACAATTAATCGATTATTATTATTATTATTGTATCCTTTAGTTCCTAGAGGAACATAGGGCTTCAGCTGCGCACCTCCATTGACTTCGGTTTTCTGACAACTTTTTCACCCTGCTCCAGGTCTGCCCACATGCTTTCATCTCCTCTTCACATGACCTCCTCCAAGTCACCCTTGGACGACCAACTCGCCGCCTCCCTTTCGGGTTCCACTCGAGGGCTTGTCTAGTGATGTCACTTGATGGTTTCCTCAGCGTATGGCCAATCCATCTCCATTTCTTTCTGCCTATTTGTTTCACAATCGGTTCCTGATTGGTTCGCTCCCAGAGATCCCTGTTGCTGATCTTTTCTGGCCATCTGATCTTGAGTATTGAGCGGAGACAGTTGTTAATGAAGGTTTGAAGTTTGTTTGAGATGCTCTTTATGACTCGCCAAGTCTCTGATCCGTATAGTAGCACTGACTTCACATTGGAGTTGAAAATCCGGATCTTATTTTTGATGCTGATTGCTGTTGACCTCCACACAGATTTGAGAGTAATGAAAGCTTGTCTTGCTTTTCCGATTCTGGCTTTGATGTCTTCGTCAGTTCCGCCTGTAGTTGAGACGATGCTTCCCAGGTAGGTGAAGGAGGTTGTTTCTTTCAGGTTCTTCCCATTTATGCTTATTGTGGTCTGTTGTTGCTGTTGATGTTGGCAAGGAATCTTCATCACCTCTGTTTTATCTATGTTCACGTGAAGTCCTATCTTTGATGCTTCTTCTGCCAACTTGTTACTTTTCATTTGCATATCTTCCAGTTTATGGGAAATCAGACATATATCATCGGCGAAATCCAGATCCTCCAAGTCTTTTGTGTCAGTCCATTTTATGCCTGTTCCCTCGTTGGTTGCCGTTGTCTGTCGCATTATCCAATCAATTGCAATCAGGAAGATCATTGGTGATAGTAGACAGCCTTGCCTCACTCCCGTCCTCACTTCGAAGGCTTCCGTAAGTTTCCCGTTGTGGATTACTTGGCATGCGGCATTGTCGTATAACTGTTGGATGAGGTGTATAATTGTCAATGGGACCCCGTAGTAGCGAAGTAGTTTCCAAATGACCTCTCGATCGACGCTGTCGAAGGCCTTTTCAAAGTCGATGAAGTTGAGATAGAGAGGTGACTGCCATTCCAAGCTTTGTTCAATGATGATCCGTAGAGTGGCGATTTGATCAATACATGATTTGTTTCTCCTGAATCCAGCCTGTTCCGGACGAAGTTTTTCATCTAGGGCTTGTTTGATTCTCTCCAGGATGATGCGACTTAGTATCTTGCTTGGAATGGACAGAAGCATAATTCCCCGCCAGTTTTTACATTGACTTAAGTCTCCTTTCTTTGGTAGTTTGAATAAGTAACTGTTCTTCCAATCCTCGGGTACTTTGCCCTCTTTCCACACCTTCTCCAGTAGTGGTGTCATCAAGTCCGCTGTTGTCTCTGGGTCTATTTTCAAAGCCTCTGCTGGGATTCCATCTGGTCCCGGTGTTTTCCCAGTTTTAAGCATCTTGATTGCATTCAGGACTTCTGATTTCGTCGGGGGGTCAGTGTTCACTGGTAGTTCTGCTTCCGTTGTTGGTATTGCTGGACGTGTTGTAGGTGGCGGACGATTTAGAAGTCTTTTGAAGTGTTCAACCCAGTGCTTTCTCTGTTCCACCTCTTTGGTGATTGACTTTCCATTGTCGTCCTTTATTGGCTTAATCTGTGTCGAACGTTTGCCCGATAGGTGCCTAGTTGTTTGGTAGAGTGTGGCGAGGTCTCCTTTGCCTGCAGCTTGTTCTGCTTCGTTTGCCATGGTTTCATAATATTTTCTTTTGTCTTCCCTGGCGCTTTTCTTCACTCTTTTGTTCAGTGTATTGTAGCTTGCATTCAGCTCCTGTTTTTGTTGCTCGTCGTGCACTGGATAATCTTTTGCTTCACTGTCCTTCTCTCTTCTATTAGTTTCCAAGTGTCCATAGTGAGCCACTGTTTGTCCTGTCTCTTTTTTCTGCCTAGAATTTCTATGCAGGTTTGGCTCCACACCGTTTTCAAGTTGTTCCAGTGCTTTTCAACGCCGACCTCTTCGCTAGTGTTGATTTGTGTCTCGACTTTGTCCTTTATGCTTGCAATGAAGATGTCCTTTGTAGCCTGGTCCTTCAGCTTTTGAGTGTTGAACTTGGCTTGTGGTCTATCTGCAGCTCCTGATTCCCTGAAAGCTTTTAATTTGATTTGGATTGTCCCTTGTACGAGATAGTGGTCTGAGCCAACGTCTGCTCCTCTTCTTGCTTTTGTGTCCAGTAGGCTGCGCCTCCACTTCCTTGAGATTGAGATGAAGTCGATTTGGTTTTTGGTTTGCCCGTCTGGTGACACCCATGTAGCCTTGTGGATATCTTTGTGCTTGTATACACTGCCACCAATCACCAGTTCGTTGAAGGCGCAGAAGTCGGCGAAGAGTTCTCCGTTTTCATTCATTTCTCCTAGAGCTTCTCTACCCATGATGAGTTCCCTTCCCGTATTGTCTGGTCCCAGTTTGGCGTTCATGTCTCCCATTAGTATTTTCATGTCGCCAGCTGGAGTATTGTCCATTGTTGCCTGTAGTTGCCTGTAGAATTCTTCTTTCTTCTCGAGGTCTGCGTTGTTTGTGGGTGCATAACATTGTATGATTGACACTTTCCTTCCTTTGGAGTTGAACCTGGCGGTCATTATCCTGGACGAAATCGCCTCCCATTGTATCAGGGCTTTCGTTGCCGTTGGTGACATCATGATAGCCACGCCCTCGGTGTGCGTGTGGTTATCTTCTGGGTGACCGGAGTAGATCACTGACTCACCTGTTGACAATTTGGTGAGTCCACTCCCATTCCATCTGCTCTCACATATTCCCAGCACTTGTATTCCGTATCTTTTCATCTCGTTGGCGATCTGGGCAGCTTTTCCAGTCTCGTACATGGTTCGAACGTTCCATGTTCCTACACAGACTTTTTCTTTTGGTGCAAGGAGGTTCACATACTGAAGTTCTGTAGCAATTTTTGTTTACAGGGTGGGGTTGCTTGCCTCACGCCTGAGAAAAGAATGATTACATTAAGTAAAAGTTTAGAGAGAAGCAACTTTTTGGGTTGCTCCCCTCAAAATCAGAAAATAACGGACAAACAATGAGAACAACGTCGACAAAGGAAACAGTTCACACAAAAAAGGGCAAAAAGCGACGACAACTATACAATAAGACAACATGCAATATAGTTCAGTATATTAACTAAAATGATATCTTAACCATAAACTCACTGACTTGGAGCAACTTGAACATATAAATCCAACAATATATACAATTATAGATGTGTTTATGTTTAAAAATTCCACAAATCCAAACAGTGAGTTATGTGTATTATCTGTCAATAAGATTGTATTTTTTGGATTCAGTGTTCGAAAGGTTAATAATTGTGATAATTTCCGCAAACACTTTGCATAAAATTTTAGAGTAATAAGATATTTTATTTATGACCAAAATGTAGCGTAATAGTCGAAAAGCGCGCGCTCAGGACTTAGTAGAGTAGTCAATTAATCGATAATGCACTCAAACATATCTTCACCTAATCAAAAAGACAAGTGTAATTTCAGTCAAAATCATACTTAACAAAAACAAAAAAAAAACAAAAGCAAGAGTAGAGTGAACATTCATCACATAACTGCGTGAAAATTGTTACCAGGGATTAGTCAGCCACCATTACTTTACTATCACATCTAAAATATATTAATAGACAAATAAATGATAAATAGTCAGATCTTGTAAAGATGAGTCATGCATAATTGAGACCGTTGTAAGTGTAAGACACACAACACACACAAGCTTCACTAAGCTTGTAAGAAACATCTATATCACGAAATGCTGGATTTCAGGTTTACAGAACTCTTTATCCGAGTAAGCACAGCGGTTGAATGTTCAAATCACCGGTGTGCAGTTGGTGATTTGGCTTTAAGACAGTATAAACAGTGCTTAGTTTAATGTGATTGTTGGTAAGGATATAAGAGTTTCAAAACAATTAAGCAACCGCATAGGAAAACGTATTAGCAGTGAAAAACGTGATGAAGAATGAAACTGTAAAAGAGTTTGGCAGGTATGCAATAAGCATATGGATACCTGAGGACACTTGCTACTTCTATGTCTACTTGATATGTGAAACAAATGTGACAGCATTGGTAGTCATAAAAGGAAAAAGTACCTTATAACAGGCGGATAACTTATTTGGAGCAAATTGAGAAATGTTACCTCTTTAATCGATTCATTCTAACACTTCATGAACAGTGGGAATAAAGCAGCTGATCATCTAAAAGAAGAGTACAAACTGCTGCCACATCCCCTCCTTTAACTTGATTTTGTCGTAAGACATCAGCAGAGATACTTAAAAAGTGATAGTAATTGCCTTGAGGTTAACTATTATTCCTTTGATTTTAGCGCAATACCAGGGCTTTAAGAATCTACTTCTCCACCAGTGTAATTAAATGTAATTGAAAATCAGAACGACTATGCAAAATCGAGTTGTTTTGCTAGGGTTTACTCAAACATTTTACAGTTCAATATCCTTTTTTAAAATAATCACTTTGACCGAAAATAATACAGGTAAGATTTCGAAACATATAAAGAACATCTGCTTGTAAAATTTATTTTGACTCAAAAATGAAAGAAATGTTGAAAGTTAAGGAAACTTACGGCATTGCTAAACTGTTGCAAAAATGCTAAATGCACTCGATTTCTAGAGGTTTTGAAGAGGGTGGTAAACTTTGATTGCAAAATATTTATATCAGCTGCGATCATTTCTCGGAAATCCGTTCTACAGAGTGATCCCAGATTTTTAAATATTTCTAAAATAAAGATGCGTCATTTGAAATTAGAGTGAATTAGAAGACAATTATAGACATATGCAAATACTGTACAATTCTATACACGGACCTACGCTTATAGTTTTGTATTATTTGTGCTTCTGATGAAATCCAAACCATAAGAAAAACGAGATGAACCAGTGGGAAATTATCCAACTTAACTACAGATGTATAGTCACAGATCCAGTTACCAAAGAAATCCAAAGTAATGTCATGTTTGTCTCCCTACCTTTCATCTGGACTTACGAGCATGCAGATTAAGAGACTAACGTTCGGAGTCAAAAATAATGAGAGCATAAATATAATAATAATAATAATAATCACTTTATTCCACAACAATAAAAATTTACAGCATGGAATTTTCAGCGTTTCTTTTACATATTGCAATGGTTTAGCTCTGTTTATAATTATATAAATATATAAAATGTTAAAATATTGATAGTTAATAGGAAAAATAATAAAAAAATAAATAAAAATAAAAAACCCAACAAAATCATACCATTTCTAGGTCATAGTGTATAATAAATAAATAATATAACAAATAACACTTGCATTAATATGCATCATTTCATTTTATAGTTTAGTTACTGATTCAAAAGTTGTAAAAGTTCTTTTCTGATATTTGTCTCTTCACACAATACTAGTGCCAAATATGGAACGGTCGAATTTCTATATTTTGTAGTACGAGCATAAATGTTTATAAAATTTCTTCTGGTCTTACCCGAAGAGATACAAGGAAACAATTGTGAATAAAGAGGATGTTCACTATCAGATAAGATAACTTTAGCTAAGTGTTTACAAGAATTCATATGCCTATTGACAACAGTGTCATTTAGTTCAGTCAAAGGGATAGCACTGACCCTACTTACAGCCCTCAATGTTCTTCGTAGTATTATATGATCTTTCTTGAGTAGCCCAGGGAAGAGTAATGGAGAACAATAAAGAATGATGGGCAAAACACATGAATTAATAAATTGTATGATAAGAGATTGAGTTATACCTGAGTGTCTCAACTTTTTTATGTAATAAGTCAGACGGAAAACTTTCTTAGAAACTATAAGAATATGAGACGACCAGCAAAGATTTGACGAGAAACTAATGCCAAGATAAGAAACACTTGACTTACTCTCAATCATGGTACCATCAATATTACTACAATCATGAGATTGAATCAATCTATGCATGTCTTTTTCACTTCTCAAGCTGAAATCAACAGTGTTACATTTAGTTGGATTTAGTTTAAGACCATTTGAGCCAGACCAATCCTTAACTTCAGCTAGGAAGCCATTCATATAGGAACAATCCGATGTGGCAACTACAGGGACAGAAACGGTCAGGTCATCAGCATACTTAATGAAGTTAACTTTGGGTGAGTTCGGAAGGTCATGCAGAAAGAAAGAGAAAAGAAATGGAGAAAGTACTGCACCTTGAGGCACACCACTTTCAGTTAGCTGGGAAGTGGAGCGCTTTCCAGCCAAAACAGTATGCTGTTTCCTATCCTTAAAATAAGAAGACAGCCATCTAGTTGCCCAGGACTCTGTTTGTGCTGAATTCATCTTTCCTAATAAAAGTGTCCTAGGAACAGAGTCGAAAGCTGCAGTATAGTCTAAGAAAGCTGTTCGAACGAACTTAGCGCCCTTATCAAGGCAGGAAACAATATTGTGGTGTAGTACAATGGCTGCATCTAATGTGCTACTTCCACACTTATAAGCAAACTGCTTAGGGTCATTAAAAGCTTTTAAAGAAGGTTTAAGAATATTCAAAAGAAGTTTCTCCATAGTTTTCAAAAAAGGAGATGTTATAGCGACTGGTCTAAATTTTATACCTGCTCCAGAAGATGATTTCTGTACAGGTACAACCTTGATTTCTTTCCAGTCAGCAGGTACCGTTTCCCTCTTAAATGATGCGTTAAAGATTTGAGTAAGAGGATGACACAAGATGTCTGCACACTTTTGGAGAAGAATGCTTGGTACACCATCTGGACCAAGGCTGTGTGTTGGATTTAATGACTTCAAACATAATAGTACATCCTTTTCTTCAAAACCCTGAAAATGACCATTTTCTTGACTAGGTACATCAGGTACAACCATATTAATTTGTTTCTTGATAAATGATTTGTTTAAAGCATTTACATCAGAATAAGCATCAACGGACATTTGTTTTTTACTTGTTAGTTTATTGAAAAGTTTCCAAATGTTTGAAGGATTTTTACATGATAAAAATTTTTCATTACATAGTCTGTTCAACCTTTTTATTTCAATTTTTATAAGGGTGTTTATTTTACGGACACCAGTATTATCACAATTCTTATACAACTTCTCTTTTTGTCTTCTAAGTTTTTTCAGTTGCAAAGAAGAGATTCTGTCAAATCTCGAAAACAGTGTTTCATAAGGACAGCAAACATCCAAACAAAACTTCAGATAATCGGTTATATTAGAGACAGTAGCATCCAACTTATCATCAGTAAACAGTTCCCAGTTGGTATCATGCAATATGCTTCTTAATGCTAGAATGTTGTCATGGGAATATGAACGTTCATGTATCTTCTTTGTTAAATGACTAAACAATTTTCGTTGTGACTTGCCGTACACTTTCGGTAAAGTACGAATAATGCAGTGGTCAGAATTTAGCAAAGGAGCTCTCCTTCGGGTTTCATATACATCACGGTCATTTATGAAAACCAGGTCTAGTGATTTGTCCAGACGTGTATTAAACTTGACTAGATTCTCATGACCAAGCGAAGTAAGAAAGCTGTGATCACATAAATTAAAATCACCACAGACTATAGACAACGAGTTTCCGAATGCAGGAGCAGCGAATTCAGTAAACTCATCTGCAAACATAACTATATTAGAAAGGCTACAATCGGGTGTTATGTAAATATTTGTTATGTATATATAAGAATATTTACTTAAGTGTTTTGGGCGACACCTGACGGTTATACAATCTATACTGTCATTAGAATAATTGAAGCAAACGTGACTTGATGTAGACCAATTTGTGTTCATATATGTGGCTACCCCTCCTCCATATTTTTTCTTGGAACTATTTCTATCTTGGCGAAAAACCTTATATCCATTTATTGAAATTAGATTATCATCATAATGCTGGTGCAGCCAAGTCTCTTGTATTGCTAAAACGCCAGCATTTCGATAAACATTGGAACACATTAGGGATTGAAGATAATCCATTTTGTTGGACAGGGATATACAATTAGTGCTAACGAGTTCAGGAACAGTCATTTGATTAATTTGTGTACGTTTCAGTGCACGCTGCCAGCCACAGTGATGCTTTTTTCTCAATTTTTGTGGATGACACAACGCGGTAGGTTGTAATGATTTTAAAAATGCGCGATTATATATAATACGATTAGGACACATTATTGATAAATTAAAACAAAATTAAAAGGGCAAACCAAAGCAATTTTGCAAAATATTGTAAGGTGGAATTTTTGGTAGCCCTATGTTCAAGCAGGCCGCCGATTACATAGTGCTATCTCAGTAAAGACTCGTAACTACATGTCATATACGTTTTTATCACTATTATAAACAGATTTTATCATGTACGGAAAATATGAGCAACAGGTTTGCTGATGCTTTTGTGTGCCGGAGAAAAATTAAATGTTTGGCTTCACCTGTTAGAGCCATGACTGTAACAAGTTCTTAC